GACCGAAGTGCATTTCATTCAATTAATACCATACTTTTAACTATTTGCAAGTGATTTACTTAACAAAACCCATTAAATGTCTTCCGATCAATTCGATTTCATCATGCTTAAAAATACTTCGTTCTTCTTAATAGGTCAGGGAACTGTGAAACGATAAAAGTGTTTGATAAGAAAATAATATCCAAAACAAAATGTGCTCCCGATGACTTTTGTGATAATAAGCCATAAGAACTCTCTATCGAAAGTAAAAAAGAGGTGTGACAAATGTTTTGTTTGAGTTTGTGAACATTTAGGAAAATCATAAAACAAGACTGCTCTAGTCGGAAATGCCCGCCTAGAATATGCCCTTTACCTTTTTCTACCAAATGGGATTATTGAAAATCAAATGTACATTACCCGTATTGACTATACTCGCTGTTTGGTGAGGGATGTGTTCTGAAAACAGGGTTTCTTAATCGACTTTAATCGACAAAATTACAAGTCTCTTACTGAGATCGACGCAGACGTGACTATAAATCGAATCTCCTATTGATGCTGACCAGGTTTTGCAATTTATATACAAATTTTAATATTAATATCTCTATATATAAAACTGTTTGTCCTGACTGACTGACTAAGAAGCTAAAAGTTTCACTGTAGTTACCTTATGTAATGATAGTGCACGCTAAGACGGGGCTTTGGCAAATTCCACCCGAGAATTTATATGATACGTTCTTGGGTGGAAAATGCGGGTCAAAGGTTTAATAAACGAACGTTTATTCTTTAGCTTCAAGATTCGCACCGCAAGACTAACACGGGCTGAATCGCACTTAAAACTTACTTTTAAGTTGAAACGGAGCTCAAGATTGGTAGAGACAACTTCAAGGACTCCATCGATTTTTTTGTCTGCAACTTTATATACAAGTTTGTTTTAAAATCGAATTTTATTTCATTTGAATTTGTTTGATATGCGTCGATTTTAATATTTTTGTACCCGTCTGTTGTGGACTTTTGTTGGGATTACAGCAGCTGAATTTATTAATAAGTAAATTGTTAAACAATTTAAACTTTCTTACAATAAATGCTACACATAGTTGTTTTTTATTTCATTTTCCATTGCTTTTGGGGCGTATAAGCATATTGACTGTCTTCAATGGGTAAAAACCATACCAAAATATGGCATCATTTTTGGACACCTTATGATCATAGTATTTGCCATTTAAATTGCTAAAAAAAAACCATATAAAAATTAATTGCATATAAGTTGCTTTGACAAAGCTGTGGCGATCAATACCTGTATGCACAATCACCGTACCACCAGCCACCACCACGTTCGTCTCGGTTTGCGCAGTTGCCAGAATTCAAATTGTCATTGTCACGATCGTAAGTGGTGAATTTCTTATCTTTGTGGTATAGCAAGTAATCATTTGTTGCACTGCCCTCAGATTTACCCAAGGTGATCAAGGTGTATTGGTCCTCCTCGCCAGAAATGGCAAATTGATCGTATCTTCTGTATTTGATGTCACCATCAAATCCTTCCATATGTATGTAGAGCTCATGAGGCTGGGCGCTCGTCAATCGATGAATCTTTTCAAGTCCTAAGAAAAATCACCATCGAAGGCTCCAAAGCCTTCACGGTATGTGGCCCAATCCCTATAGAAATCCTCCTTTCCATTGATTCGCTGCTGGATAACCGTCCACCCAGGACCTGCTGTCGCACTATCACAAAGTACATCGAACGGATCCGGGTTAATCTTATGAATACCCGGAGCATCAGCAAAGTCGGTGCATTCACCGTAAACGGGCTTCTCTTCGCCGCTTTTTAGTTTCTTGGCACAAATGTTGATATCGTTTTTGAGTTGGGATATTTGTTGGGCCTGTTGATCAATTGACTTCTTTTGTTTCTCCAGCTGCTCTTCATAGTCCTGGATTTTCAAGGCATTGGAATTTGGTTACTCATTTCCTCTTTTATTGATAAAACGTTGTTCGTTAGCTCTTTGATACTCTGTTTGTAGAATTCATTCTGAGCTCTCAGTTCCTCGATGACCAAATAATTACGTTGGCTAAGTTTTTCCTGCAGTTGCTTGATTTCCCTGTCTTTGCCTTCAATTTTATTATTATTGTTTTCAATTTCCTCCTTCATCTGATGAATATACTTTAACAAAGGTCTCACAGCCTTATAGGTGTGCTCTCCACATTCTTCCTCTGCTATTCTGGTTGCTGTAGGACACTTATGAAAAAGTACGATTTATTTTCTGCAGTGCACACAAACATTTACAAATAATCTGTTTTTTAACTCATTTTCGTTAGTCTCTGCACAATACATTTTGATTTTGGAATTGAAATGCGAATCTCAACCATACTCAGATTTTTTTTTTAAATTTTAATATAATTTTCTTAAAATTATATTTGTACTTTAGGCTCATAATTTATAAAGGGTTCTTTAAAGTTATTTATAAGTAATTTTTATACTATGCAAATCGATAGTTATGCAAACCGAATCTCAATCGATAATTGACATTTGATATTTGGTATTTGATTAAAGATAATCCCTTGTACTTGCGCCAATTTCGTAGCTTTAAGTTGAGCAAAGTGTTTTTATTGTGCCTCAACCCCTGCAACGCCTTGGCTGCCCCTTCGAGAGGTGCATTCAAATTGAAATTCGACCTTTTAGGCTCCTCTGACACGCAATTTGTTGGCTGCAAATTGAAATTGAAATTGGAAATTGAAAGGTCGTGCGAGGGTCGCGCTCCTCGGATCGAGCTTCCGAGGGTGCGCTTTGGCATAGCCAATGGCATTTGCCAATGATATTATCTGAGTGCGACCTTGTCCATGAATATATTATTTATTTATTTTGCCCCGCTTTGTTTTTGTTGCTCTTGAAAATTGACAATGGGGTCGCCTGTGCGCCAATTGTGGGTGAGCAGCAGGCAGAATTTTCATTATCACCCAAGCACAGACAATGGAGAGTGGGCCACTGAACTGACGAGTCGATTGTGCTCACCTGTTTACGTTTGCCCCCCATCCCCATCCCCCTCCCCCATCCCAGCACCCAAATATACAGACATAGCATATGAACCCAAGAGCTGGGCTCTTATCGCGGCTATTTGGTCAATACGCTTCGTTGCCTCGTTGGCTCGGAAATCATATGTGGGCTTATTTGTTTTATGCTCAAAGATCGCGACTCGGGCGGTAGTTATCCAAATGGAGCAAATGGAGCCACGCACACCTTATGCGTTTTGTAACCACAACAACAAATGCAAATGAATTCAAAACTTTTGCTTTGTTGTTGATTTTGGCAGCTTGATAAGGGCTTCTCTTTGGACTAGGTTCTACGCTGGATTGTGCGGGCTTAGAAAGCGTTACCAGGTTCGCTTTGGATGTGTTATCTCAAAAGTACAACTCAACCCAAGGCAAGAGCACATTTTAGTAAGCTACTTTAAGTATGATTATGATATATTATATCATTACATATCTAACGTTGGTTACGATGGAGAATACAATTTTGTTCTCTGCACTCTTTAGCTCTTGTCCGGAAGACCTCTTGACTTGATAATGCTCAGTCTTTAGGGTTTATTCCTTTTCATTATACTCTATATTTTGTTATTATTCATAGTATTATTAACATTATATTGAGTATCTTTCCATCTTAAGCTTTTACTTCTTTTAAAGGTAAGAACGATCTCTTGAAGAAACATTTTGAATGCTCGTTTTTATACCCTTTCTTCTTCTCTTCTCCCAGAGAGAATTTTATATTCTCTTTTTCAAACATAGAAGTAACAAGAATTAAATGCTTCTTCCAATTTTCCTTCTCCTTCTTATATTTAGCTCAGAGAGCGAGAGCGAGAAAGAGAAAGAGAGAGTATGTAATTGACTTTTCATTCCCCTTTGTATTGCATTCGTAAACGATTTGGTAAAGTTCGTTTTGAGCTTTTATTATAAGAAACCTTGTTAAACTGTTTAAAATTTGGGAACTTTTCGCTCCAAGAAGAGCACGTTATCTTAGCGCAAAAAATTTTAAGTAATATTGACTGAGCTTTTGTGTTGCGACCTTTTAGTAATTCCAAGCTAGAAACCAGCATATCGCATATAAACCAAAATATTTTGCAGCCCTAAAGCCAGAAAATGCCAGTTGAGCTTTTGACTTCGCGCGATTTCTTTGTGCGATCCGTAGAGAGCGCGGCGAGAGAGGCAGAGGGAGAGTCAGTTGGAGTGGCAGAGAAAGAGAGCGGAGCGCTATCAAGAACTCGCTATATACATATAGATATATGCATGTGTATAACCCCAGCCAGGGACAGACGGGGTTTCAGTGGCATTGTGTCGATGTGAACGGTTAGTGTCGGTCGATTGTCGGTTGGATTTATACTCAGGGCTACCGTTGGGCGATAAGGTGTGCGTGTCTCTGTGTGTGTGGTGGGTGTGCGGGGCTTGGTGCGGTTACGGTCTCGGTCTCGGTCTCGTTGTTATAAGCAAACGTTTTGTACGCATTTGCAGCGCTGGCAGGAACCAAGACCTAAGAGAAGAGCAAAAACAAAAATGACCAAAGCAATGTGAATAATACCAAAAAATGAAAGCAACGCCAAACAGCAAGGTGCCACCAACAACAACCACAACAACAACAACTTTAACAACAACAGCTTTAACAATATTGACAGCAACAACAACGACAACAACAACAACAACAGCAGCCTTAAAATTAGAGTCCATATCAGAGCCCTATATAGTTAGCAAAAGATCCGAAAAGTCGGGCACATATAACGCCACATCCACCGCATCGACCCCCTCGTCCTTTGTGATTAAATGTCTGTTGCGAACGGCGCGATTTATGTGGCAAGTGACAACGATACCCTCTAAAATTGGTGACACCATAGGCACCCTGTATCGCTATGCGCAGGATTCGGTTGACACATTTCTATGCGTAGCTGGGTGAGAACTCAATAAATAGGCCCAACAACATATACTATCTATCTATATATCTTTTTACTTAACTAACGCCATCTTTCGCAATCTTCTATTTGCAGAAAAGCGCGTCGCAAAGAGCGCGATGGCGATCAAAACTCAACAGATACCAAATTGTATTTGGAGGAGAGCGTCCTGGAACGCAAACTACCTGAAGCTGATCTCAAAGCCCTTGTCGATCTTCCAGCTGGCTTGGACTACAACGAATGGCTAGCCTCACACAGTAAGTACAGCCAACATGTAATAGCTCTGCTCATCGAATACCCTGTTATTTTTGTGAATTGCTAATTGCTATTTTTCTCTCGGGGACTTTAAAAGTTAGTTACCTACAATTTGGGATGTAGAATCTAGTCTAGCACAGATTCTGTTAGTGTATATCCAGTTTATAATAACCCTCTCCAGTTTTCTTCGAATCGTTAAACAAGAAGCTCAAAAACTCTCTCAATCCCAAACGGAACTCAGCGATAACGTGAAGAGTTGCATAAATTCGATGTGTACCTCCTCATATATCATTTATAGATAAAGTATTGTATAGAGCACAGGGTATATGCTAGTCGAACACTCTTCGTCGGAAGACACGTACTTGCTTTTTGATTATACTTCTCACGTGATATGCGTGTTTTGATTTATTCGAATTGTTTTCGCATTCATCTATGAATTGTTATTACACTTTTTGTTTTGTTGCTGTTGTTGCGCTTATTAATGATCGGCAATTTGATAGACCAGTCGCTATTTGGGCCTCGTGACTTATAGGCCACACTGCGAGTATCTCGGTGCTCTACAGGCTGGTTCAGTTAACTGGGCTAAGTACGTGCCGATTGGCAATTAACAAGAGGAAGCTGCAGCTAGAATGTGCATTCAGAGCGCGGTGTAATATTATAGATTAGCAATTGCAAATATAATTGATAGAAATCCCAAGCTCTCAAGAAGAGGTAACCTGGGCAGCTATCCATATAGTTAAATGTTCTTGCGCTGATTATACTCGGAGATATACGTCTCTAGTTCGGTATTTCTAGTGCTTATAAGGCTGCGAGATATGGTCCAAAAAACAGGATGTTGATTTCGATTCTTATCAATTTCGTGTAATTGCTGCAAGCTTTGAATGATTCAATATAAGGTCGAACCTTACGTGAACCTACTTTTCGAATTACAAGTGCCTAACTCTTACGTACAGACAGGGCTAAATGGAGTCGGCCTAGCTTGAAGTATTTAATTAAGTGTATTCTACTATAATCAAGTTTAGGTTAGCATAGGTCAGACGGCAAATAACATGAATACACATTTAGCTGGCGTCATAATCGTACTTTTCGTTGAAATAGATTATCGAGGGCCATAAACCCCGTCAAATTTGAACCTTGTTCTTGAGTTGAGAGACTCAAGCTATATAACGCGTTCAAGACCTACCTTACGCTAGAGTTTATAATCGAGGTCCAGATCAAGACGTTTCTATTACACACAGAAAGTACATTTTCGTTGCTTAATGCTTGTAATTCTCAACAAGTTATGCATGCGCAAGGCATTGGCCTGTTCTAGAGTCGAGCAAAGAGTTCAAATAGGAAAGGGGAACTTTTTGCCTATTCGAATCAATTGTGAAGGGAAAACCCTTTATCTAACTCTAGGCCAAGTTTCTTTGGCATATGGCTTAAACATATTAAATACAGTCGCCCCTTAATCTGACCTAATTCTAATTAATACGCCGGATTACGAACGCCTACTTTTTGCAGCTGCTGCTCAACAGTTGGTCCCTCGGCAGGGTTTCAGCATTTTAATTGGGACACTGTCTTACATCATCACATGATTATCTACATCGTCAGCATCAGCATCATCATCATCGGAATCATCATCGTGGTCTTTATTATCTTTCGATTTCGTGTTGTTCTCTGGGCAATTAGTCGGATATTACATCATCTCGTGTTAATCTCTTGAATAATGATAGCTACGCAAATAGAAATTAACGCGCGTTCTCTGTGCCTTGCAGCCTTTAAAATGGCTTGGAAATAATTGGCAGTGTTTCAGCGAATTGTAATGTAGCCCTATCCCCTCTCCTCCTGCTCGCCTTTCCTCTCTCATCTCTCATCTGCATATTCACATATACACACAGATATTGCATTTTCCTAATAATCAACTGCAAAGGCCGCCAGCTGTGGGCGGGTCGTGAGGTCGCGGGGTCGCGTGATAAAGGCCGCAAGATGACTTCAGATACTTGCATATACATACATACATACATATGTATGTGTGTATCTATGTGTGTATGCATGTTTATGCACACCTCACCCCGCTATCCATTAAAAATGATTTCATTTGCCTTGACTTCCTGCAGCTGCTGTCGTCGCCGGATCTCTTTGTACAGCGCATAATGCAATTTTGCCTGACGTAATAACATTTTTCTCCCCCCTCCCCCGTTTCCGACTCGACTGTCGTTTGCCCTTTTACTTTATCTGAGGCACACTTGTGCCAATATTGCATTAACATTGACCTTATGCGAACGATACGACAATGCGTCTCACACCAGATAACACTTTGTCGAGCTGTCCGAGCAGCTGTTTCAATGTCACTTTTTCAACACTTTTCCAAACAGATCAGTCACTGGCATAAGAAGAAGAAAAGAGAGAGGGAGTGTTAATTCTGATTGTGATTGGGAACAGCCTTACAACACGATTGAGGCAGGTTATTTAATGTCTCTATATGGATGATTCCAGTGAAAAGTGAATTTAAATTTAAAGTATTCTAAAATATATTATCAAACACGTTACAAGACGAATTTGTGGTATATTTTTTTTATCTTTCTCATTTGAAATTTTAATTTTATATGATATAGCAGTCCGATCTGGTCAACAGATCTATTCAGAGTTATGTCCGGCTTTAATAATAGTCGAGTTTTTGCATGTGGACAATTTAACTATGCTACTTGCTGGAAAAGTTGATGACTTTTTTGTGGTTCTGCTCAAAGAACTCGTTTGAAAAACATTCGTCAGCCTTGATTGGGAAAATTTAATCCTTGGCTGTAAATCACTTTTTTTCAAGATTAAAATACAACTATACAAACTTATAGGTGGAAAAGAGATGAATTTCATGAATAGAAAATGGCCGTAAACTAATTTTTAAAGACCCAATTAAATGGCTCTTAAGATATGTGATTCGTTGACCTTGACCGATTTAAGAGCTAGGTGGAAAATGAGTGAAATAAATATGAATTCGAATATAAGATGGCTGTAAACTAATTGTTAAAGATATACAAACTTTTACCATTTAGTTTGAAAATGGGTGAAATATAGATAAATTTGACGTATTACAGGTGCTTCACTGAATTTGACCGAATTTTAACATATAGGTGGAAAATAGGTGAAATATATATGAATTTGAATGGAAAATAGTTATAAAAATTAGTTAAGAAATATGTATGAAAGTTCTTAAGAGACTTGTTTCACTGATTTTGACTGAGTTTTAACATCTAGGTGGAGAATAGGTGAAATAAAGGTGAATTTGATGGAAAACGGCTTTAAATTCATAATAGACATGTTTCACTAATTTAAAAAAACTAAAATAGATTATCTAAAAATAAATTTTAATAGAAAGTGAAACTAGTTTTAAGAGATCATAAGAGGCATGTTTACAGATCAAGAATAATTTTTAACGTTAAGGTGGAAAATAGGTGAAATAGCGATGAATTTGAATAGAAGATAGCTTTAAACATATTTTTAGAGAGGCCTGTTTCACTGATTTTGACAGAATTTTAACATCTAGGTGGAAAATAGAAGAAATGATGATGATTTTGAAAAGAAAATGTTAGGCTCAGGCAAAGCCGGGTAACATCACCTTGTATCTTCTCGTTCAACTCATAAATACCCTTACTAATCGGAAATTCGAACATTATCTTACAGCTCTGGCTCTCTTCGAGCACGTGAATTTGGTCTATGGAACTATTAGTGAATTTTGTACACAATCCGGTTGCGCAGACATGACCGGGCCGGGCAACAGGTGAGCATGTCGACATAAATCCAACAGATGAGAATATTTGTAATTAAAACTCTGCATTTATAGAACGTACTTATGGTTCGATGAGAAGGGCAAGAAGACGCGGGTCGCGGCACCGCAATACATCGACTATGTGATGACCTTTACGCAGAAAACGGTCAGCGACGAATCGATATTTCCAACCAAATACGCGAACGAGTTTCCCGGCTCGTTCGAGTCAATCGCCCGGAAGATTTTACGCTTGCAATTTCATGTGATAGCGCATCTGTATGCGGCGCATTTCAGAGAAATCGCGCTGCTCGGCTTGCACACCCATTTAAACTTGACGTTCATGCACCTCACGGCGCTGCATCGCCGCTTCAATCTGATCGACGAGAAGGAGACGGACGTGCTGCGCGATCTGGAGGTGGCGCTCCGCCTAACCGACGACAACAGCGTCTGCGGCCACGACTCGCTAGCCGAATCCGGCTCAACCTCCGTGTCCGCAACCGCTTCGCTCTCTGCCGCCAACTGTGAGCAGCAGCAGCAGCAGCAGCACAGCAGCAGCAACAGCAACAGCAATTCCTCCGGCGAGGCGCTGCACGTCAATTCACAAAGCATCTGCGGCACATCAGCAGCCTCGCCGGCGTCGTCTCTAATTGATGGCGATGCTGCCGCCCCGCCCATCTGCACGCAGCCGGAGGCGGGCGCGGCCGGTAAGCCGCCCGGCAGCGGTGGCCTGTTGGGTGGCATTTTGGGTGATTTAACCAGCGGCGAATTTGGTGATACGACCCGCTACTGCACCTCGGCAGTTCCTCCTCATGCGGCTGGCACGGATGCCGCTGCCGCCGCCGCCGCCAACACATTGCCACCGAATGGGGCAACAAATGGCGCACTACATTTAAATTTTAGCAACAATAACAGCAACAACCACAATTTGAATCACTTGAACCATCACCACCATCATCACACCCATCACCATCACCACCATCATCCGCACACCCATCTGCACCACCTGCAGCAGCAGCATGCGGCATCTGCAGCGGCGTCGGCAGCGGCAGCGGGGGCGGGGGCGTCGCCCACAACGCAGCACAGCGGCCTCATACAGTGCAATGCAGCGGGCGCAGCAGCTTCTGCGGGCGGCGGCAGCAACAGCAACACAACAGCAACAACATAGTGTGACAGCAGCGGCAGCAGCAACAACAACAACAACAAACAAACAAACAAAAAAACATTAGAAATACTAGAATTACGCAAAAATGTTATTTAATGTTATTACTTCTATGATCCTAAAGTTGAAAATATTGTAAAAATAAAACAAACAAAAAACAAAACATGAAAAATTGTAAAACACAATTATCGATAATCGATAGTCGATTGCAGTTCGACAGTTGCGTAGTTCCATAGAGCACACACAAACACACACGTTCATTCTAGGAGTTGATATGTATAGAAAGAGAGCTGCAAGCTTAGACCTAGAGAGCGACAGAGAGAGAGAGAGAGAGAGAGCAATTGCGAGTGCGAGAGAGCGGTTGGTCTCATGCTACGTGACGCTTAATAAGCTTTATATGTAACACCCACAACCAGGCCGCCCCACGCCCTGAGAAGCCCAGAAACACACAAATGACAGTTAAAAGGCATAGCCTAAAGGCAAATACAGGCAAATTAGTTCATAAATCGAACAAAACAACAAGTTGATAAACTATAGTAATAATAAAAACAAAATAAAACAAAACGAAACAATATTGTAAAAATGTTAAGAGAACACCTTAGAGAAATAACACGCAAATTAAATGACGCACGGTCACACTGTTAGCTTTAACAATCTCACCCAACTGGCAAGTCCTTCAACTCAATTGTATATTACTTAATTTGTATTTTAGCTATTTTCTGTGCATACGAAATCGTAAGAGTATTAATTGCAAGGCAGATTTCATAGAGTTATCGACTGTTTAATTCGTAGAGTAAAACATGTTAATATACCTCAATAAATATTTAAATGTGCATAACCCTAAAAACACAATTTAATATTCAACTATGAATTTCGTTTCCTTTCCTAAGCTAAATAGAATATGTGACCTTCAGCTTGAATAGTCTAAATTTAAAATGCCACGCCTGTAGTTCCTTTCCTACTTCTAAGTCTAAATATTAATGTTATCATAAGACGAAAGCTTTACTTTAGTGTTCATGCACATTTAAATAATTTTATGATGAAGTATTTTAAGCAACATTTTTGGCGCTGATAACACATGTTCCGTTCATTCATTTTTCAGCTCTTATCTCAACTTTTTGCTTTGGTTCCTTTCCTGTTACCCAGAACCACTAACATTTTTAAAACCTTCGCTTAGCTTTGGCTATATAAACAACATTTCGCAAAGTCCTTAACGGCAACTAAAAAGCACCTGAACTTGTAGAGTATTCCTAGAGTATATCTGTATCTAATTGTCGCAAATCTTCAAAAAAACACACACACACACTCTTAACTCGTATTTCTCTTCTACTTCGAATAGGTATGCACCAGATATTCCATGTCTCGTCTAACCCGCACACAGAGAATGTTGCACCAGTTTTTAAGAATAACAACAAATTATAATAACAGTGTTGAAAAACGTGCTGAGAGTTACGAAAGAACAAGAAATCGAATTGAATTACCAAAGGCAATGAAGCTAATTTACTTTAAACTACAAAAACAAAACAAAACTATATTTAAACAAATAATAAATAAAATAATGTTCAGTGTATACTAGGTTCTTGCTTGTGTATGTGTATGTGTATGTGTATGTGTGTGCGTATGAGTGAGTGTACATGTGTGTGCGATATGATTTATGTGCATTAGATGGGGCATCTTCTTTCTAGCCGTAGTTGAACCCAGGCATTCGAAGCTCACTGAACAGTCCAGGCTTTAGCTAAAACTATCCAATAACAATTTTAGATGCGTTGACAAAATATGAACTATTCATTAAATTCGTTCGAATGTTGTGAAAGATTTACATAATGCTGGTAAAATTATGAAATGCTACGGGAAATTACAGAAACACGAGTATTTGCGCGATATTTTCCAACTGGAAATTAGCAGAACGACACATTTTATGATAAAAAACGAAATATAAAATGCAAAATCATAATGAAATAAACTGTTATGTTCAATTAAAAAAACGGTGTATTAATGCTAAAAGTTATTTTTGTTATTTTTTGTTTATTTTTTTTAATATTTGAATATTTTTAGAGTAGAATTTTCCATATGGAGAGATAAGTTGGCTTAAAAACAGTTGGATTATAAGCATTATATTTACGTAAGTATCTTTGTCAATCTTGAGAATTAAAGAAACTTCATTGTAGTTACCTTATGTGTTAAATGTGCACGTTAAGACGCGGTTTCGGGAAATTCCACCCGCAACAGTGGTAAATTGGCGGAAATCGTTTGTATGAAAGTTGTTTGTTGACCATCCGATCAGTTTTAAAATCATTTTCAAAGCTTTTTGAGAACATTTACTTTACACGGGCAAGGCCGGGATATATCCGCTAGTATATATATTTATATGTATATATGTATATATATATATATGTATATTATTGAAAGTGTAATGTTAACTTTCTCGAATCTTCGATACTGATAGAACTGCTAGTCGTTGGTGCTTTAAAGTAAACCATTTTTACACACAAAAGTACGAAGCCCTTTATTTTTTTTTAATTTTATTTATTTTTATACCCTGAACCCATTAAAAATGGTTCGACAAAATGAACGCCTGATCCATGTCTTTTGTATATTTATCAGTATATATTGATTCTCTGACCTACTGATAATCGCTTAAAGTCGCCGAAATATTGTCGTATTTCAGTCTATTTACGTGCGTGCTGAGTGCAGTTGAGATTCGCATTTCAATTCCAAAATCAAAGTGCTATCAAAATGAAATGTGTTGTGTTTATATATATTATATTTGCAAGCATAATACTGGACATAGCTAAGGCAGAGGCTAAAGAAAATGAGGTAAAAACAGATTATTTATTAAGATTTGTGTGCAATGCAGAAAATAAATCATATTCTTTGTTACAAGTCTTGTGTGGCAACCAGAATAGCAGAGGAAGAATGTGGAGAGCACACCTATAAAGCAGTGAGACCTTTGTTAAAGTATATTCATCAGATGAAGGAGGAAATTGAAAACAATAACAATAAGGTTGAAGGCAAAGACAGGGAAATCAAGCAACTGCAGGAAAAGCTGAACCAACGTAATGATTTGGTCATCGAGGAACTGATAGCTCAGAATGAATTCTACAAGCAGAGTATCAAAGAGCTAACGAACAACGTTTTATCAATAAAAGAGGAAATGGGTAAGCTCACTTCCAATGCCTTGAAAATCCAAGACTATGAAAAGCAGCTCGAGAAACAAAAGAAGTCAATTGATCAACAGGCCCAACAAATATCCCAACTCAATAACGAAATCAACATTTGTGCCAAGAAACTAAAATCCGGCGAAGAAATGACTGCACCGACTTTGCTGATGCTCCGGGTATTCATAAGATTAATCCGGATCGAGAAGGTCCTTTCGATGTACTTTGTGACAGTGCGACAGCAGGTCCTGGTTGGACGGTTATCCAGCAGCGAATCAATGGAAAGGAGGATTTCTATAGGGATTGGACCACATACCGTGAAGGTTTTGGTTCCTTTGATGGCGACTTCTTCCTCGGTCTCGAGAGGATTCATCGCTTGACACGCGCCCAGCCCCATGAGCTCTACATACATATGGAAGGATTTGATGGTGACATCAAATACAGAAGATACGATCAATTTGCCATTTCTGGCGAGGAGGACCAATACACCTTGATCACCTTGGGTAAATCTGAGGGCAGTGCAAAAAATGATTACTTGCTATACCACAAAGATAAGAAATTCACCACTTACGATCGTGACAATGACAATTTGAATTCTGGCAACTGCGCAAACCGAGACGAACGTGGTGGTGGCTGGTGGTACGGTGATTGTGCATACAGGTATTGATCGCCACAGCTTTGTCAAAGCAAGTTATATGCAATTAATTTTTATATGGTTTTTTTTTTAGCAATTTAAATGGCAAATACTATGATCATAAGGTGTCAAAAAATGATGCCATATTTTGGTATGGTCACGACTCCTTGAAGACCGTCAAAATGCTTATACGCCCCAAAAGCAATGGTAAATAAAATGAAAAAACAAAAAATTGATAGCATTTATTGTAAAAAAGCTTAAATTGTTTACAATTTATTTATTAATAAATTCAGATGCTCTAATCCCAACAAAAATCCACAACAGACGGGTACAAAAATATTAAAATCGATACATATCAAACAAATTTAAATGAATTGGAATTCGATATTAAAACAAACTCCTTTATTTACTTTTATATAAAGTTGGATACAAAAAAGTCTATGGAGTCCTTGAAGTTGCCTCTCAGTAGGCTTTTGCCTAGAGAAACCATACCAAAGGCCTGTTCCAGGTTTAAGAGATTCAAGCAAATCAGTTGGACAGGTGGAAAGATGGATAAAGCAAATGTTAAAAGTTACACTAACAATTAGGGTCCATCTCCTAGACTTTCACTTTCACTTAACCATAAAACATCGTATATTTTATGTGTTTTCAATGAAACTTTCACAATTTACCCAGCTTTCTGGGTCTTACAAGCATTTTGACTTTTTTCAAGGCCTTCCAAAACACAAGATCTGCCAAATTTGAGAACTTTCCATTTAAATTGCCAAAAACAGAACCTATTAAATTTAGTTCACTTTTTTTCCGACAATTCATACCATAATGTACAGGAATTATACCACCAGCCACCACGATAATCCCTTGCGCAGTTGCCACTCCCATAAGCATCATTATCACGATCGCATGTACTGAATTTCATATTTCGGCTGTAAGTCAAGCAATCTGCTAAATTGCCCTCACCTCTGCCCAAGGTGATTAGTTCGCAAATTGTTCATATCTTCTGTATTTGATGTCACCATCAGATTGTTCCACATGTATGTAGATCTCATGGGGTTGGCCGCTCGTCAATCGATGAATCTTTTCAAGCCCTAAAAAAAAATCACCATGAAAGGCTCCAAAGCCTTCGCTGTATGTGGCCCAACTCCTATTGAAATCCTCCGCTGCTGGATAACCGTCCAGCCAGGACCTGCTGTCGCACTATCACAAAGTACATCGAAAGGATCTTCTTGATCCGGGTTAATCTTATGAATACCCGGAGCATCAGCAACGTCGGTGCAGTCACCGTAAACGGGCTTCTCTTCGCAGCTTTTTAGTTTCTTGACACAAATGTTGATTTCGTTTTTGAGTTGGGATATTTGTTGGGCCTGTTGATCAATTGACTTCTTTTGTTTCTCCAGCTGCTCTTCATAGTCCTGGATTTTCAAGGCATTGCAATTGGGTTTACTCATTTGCTCTTTTATTGATAAAACGTTGTTCGTTAGCTCTTTGATACTCTGTTTGTAGAATTCATTCTGAGCTATCAGTTCCTCGATGACCAAATCATTACGTTGGCTAAGTTTTTCCTGCAGTTGCTTGATTTCTCTGTCTTTGCCTTCAACCTTATTGTTATTGTTTTCAATTTCCTTCTTCATCTGATGAATATACTTTAACAAAGGTCTCACAGCCTTATAGGCGTACTTTCCACATTGCTCCTCTGCTATTCTGGTTGCCGTAGGAGACTTATAAAAAAGTACGATTTATTTTCTGCAGTGCACACAAACATTGATAAATAATCTGTTTTTAACTCATTTTCGTTAGCCTCTGCTTCATCTATGATCAGTATTATGCTTGCAAATATAATATATATAAACAAAACACATTTCATTTTGATAGCACTTTGATTTTGGAATTGAAATGCGGATCTCAACTGCACTCAGCGACAGCACGCACGTAAATAGACTGAAATACGGCAATCACTCGGAAGCTCGTGTGTCCAATATTTCGGCGATTTGAAGCGATTATCAGTAGGTCAGGAACTCAATATAAATAAACAAGGGCATGGGTCAGGCTTTGAGTGACCTTCATTGGAATGTTGTTAAATTGCAAATAGGACAGTTCATTTGCTTTGGCTTCTTATCGATATCATCTGATTTTAAATTCAATATACATATATATTTTCTAGAAAGTTCCCTCAGTATATCCCTCGATATTTTTTAGACCCTCAACCCATTGAAAATGGGTAAGAAGGTTATTATGTATTTGTGCAAATGTATGTCACAGGCAGAAGGAAGCATCTCCGACCCCATAAAGTATTCTTGATCAGCATTAGCAGCTGAGTCGATCTAGCCAGGTCCGTCTGTCCGTATGTATGAACGCAAGGATATCAGAACCTATACGAGCTAGAGACTTGAAATTTAGCTGTAGGTCCTCCTAGTGCCCGCGCAGATCGAGTTTGTTTCCGATATTCAATAACTTGTCCCGTTTCGTAATCGATAAAAATCGATATCGAAATCTTGCTTTCTAGCTTTCGCCACCACCTAAAAGCTATAAATCATGTTAGTAAACCAACTTGTATTGCCTACCTAATAAAGCCACAATTTAAATGCAATTGTCATTTTGAGAATACACGAATATTTTATAGTACAATAAGATCTACAACTGAAAATTTCATCAAGATCGGTTAGGAAACACGAAAGAAAATGTGTTTTGGCCTGATACACGTGCAGCAGCAAGCGCAAATTCCAAGAAATTCTGTACACATGTACACACACACATTCTATCAACATCATTGCAATTGCGATTTTTTTGTTTTCTGTGCTGCTATTTTAATTCGTTTTTTTCTCGTTAAGACTTTATTATTGGTGTGGCTATCGGCGAAAAGATTCTTTGGCGAAGATTTTTTTGGCGAACTTATTTTCAAAGCTCTACATAAAAAAAATCCACCCGCAACTGTGGAAATTAGGCGAAAAAACTTAACTGAACTTTATGGGTTTTAATCGGCTTCCAACGCATTTTCAAAGATCTTTATCAGAACTCATTTGAAGCGCCTTCGCAAAGTTCTCCGCTATTGGATGGAAAATGCGGGTCAAAGGTTTAATAAACCCAAGTTTTTTATTCGGCCTCAAGATTCTTACCACAAGACTAACATGGGCAGAAATCTCTGATTCCAAGATTTGATTCGTTATTCGGTGCACTTAAAACATATTTTTAAATAGAAGTGGAGACCAAGATGGGTAGATTTCAATTTTCCACGGGCGTGTACTTAGTGGAAAGGTAATACCTAAAGTTTAGAGCACAAAACGATCTACGGGCAATACCCGCTAGTATAATAAATATATATAGCTGGCTACAAAGATCGGTCGAAAATGAGGTTCTTGTATGAAATACCAATCTGTTTTTCACTGTCCACTTAATAGAAGCTTCATTATTCTAGTATAGAAACGATCGTATGATTGATAAACACATCCGCTATATTTGTGCAAGGGTATTTAATTGTTGGTAACAGCTTATATGTATGTAGTTGAACTATTTATATGAAATAAAACCAAAATCTAATAAACTAATTAAGTGAATTAGAACACAGTGAACACATGTAGAACATGCATATACATAGATATTTGTAGGTTAACCTCTGTTTTCCAATCAGAAAATCGGCCAGCTCAGGCTCTCCCGCGAATCTCTATAGTTTTGGAGCTACATGCACACACACACACACACACATGTGTAAAAGTTATATTATCGTTAATTTAATAAAATACAACTACATGTGCGTGTGTGTGTGTATATGCATGCACATAAGTATACAACTGCGTGAGTGTGTGTGTGTGTGTGTGCCTTTCAGTTTCAGTTCCAGTCGTAAATATAATAAATACAAGCAAACAATACATTTAGCCATGACGAACTGTAAATACCCTTGCTGACATAATAATCGACTAGTTTAAATACTAAGTTAATTGATTCTAGTCAAAGAGTTCTCGCTTAGCAGAAACTTTGTGTAGTCATATTATTTTGTAACTCATTTAAATGTTCGACACATAGAGGGCGTACATAGTCGCTGTTGCTCGGATGGCTTGGCTTGATTTTGACGGATGTGCTGATCGCATTCGGTTCGCCTCAGTTCGCCTCAGTTCGCTCAGTTCAGTTGGACGCTGCAGTCAAAGCGAAACGGAGCCAAATAAAATTGGGCAACAGCATTGCTGAGATTGACTCTTGATAACAGCAACAACAATGGAGCGCAATGGGCTGCTGGCACTCGCTGTGCTCTCGGCTTGTGCAGTTTACGGCACCGGGGGGCAGTCGCCGCCGGGTCATCGCACCAGGTACGAGCCGAACTGGGCGAGCCTGGACCAGCGACCGCTGCCCCGCTGGTACGACGAGGCCAAGGTGGGCATCTTTCTGCACTACGGGGTGTACTCGGTGCCGAGCTTTGGCTCCGAATGGTTTTGGACCAACTGGATAAGTGGGTGAGCGAGAGAGAGAGACATGCACGCATATACTATATATAGAGCAATTCGAACGATTCGTTACAGATCTGCGCAATCCCGACTATATACGCTTCATGCAGCGCAACTACAAGCCCGACTTCACCTATCAGCAATTCGCGGATCAATTCACAGCGGAGCTCTTCAATGCCACGCAGTGGGCCCTGCTCTTTCGCGATAGCGGCGCCAGGTAAACCCAAATGGATATATGTATTTCATCAGTCTCAATAGCGGCTATATCTGTCCTCAGATATGTCGTGCTGACCAGCAAGCATCACGACGGCTACACGCTGTGGCCCTCGAAGCAGAGCTTCGGCTGGAACGCGGTCGATGTGGGACCCAAGCGCGATATAATCAGTAAGTCAGTTAGTTCTGTCTGTCTGTCTGTCTGTCTGACTGACTGATTTTCCACAGAGGAGCTGGCGGCGGCGGTGCGCAGCGTTTCGGATCTGAGATTTGGTCTGTATTACTCGCTGTTCGAGTGGTTCAATCGCCTGTGGATCGATGACAAGCTGCATCTGCTGCTGCAGCAGCACTTCGTGGACTACAAGGTGCGGCCCGAGCAGGTGGAGCTGGTGGAGGAGTATTTGCCGGATATCATTTGGTCGGACGGCGATTGGGAGGCGCCGGCCAAGTACTGGAAATCCGAGGAGTTCATCGCCTGGCTCTACAACGACAGTCCCGTGCGGGAGACTGTGGTGACCAACGATCGCTGGGGCTTCGGCACCGCCTGCTTGCACGGCGAC